AGCTTTCCTTAAACGTGTACTTGTTTCCTACTGCTCTCGAATCAGTTCAGTACTCACAAAGTTTCGCATGGGAAAGGAAAAGAAGTCCCAGGTCTTTGGAACTCTCCCCCTGATTCTTGGCCCCAGGCCTCCCACAACAAACACAAAGATGCTTAGAACAGCTTCAAATTACACAACTGATTAGGGCTACCTTGAGCACATGTCCAGTTGTCAGAAAAAAAACAGAGCCTCAACACTCAGCTAAGTCCTTCCCTATTTTCCACATGGCAAAAGATGGAAGCTGGGTGAAGAACACTTGAATGTACCCAGCTGTAAGTCACTGACCCCATCTGACAGGAGAACGTTCTGATGGTCGCAAAGGTGCCATACTGTCTCTGAACATCCTGTACCAATTACTAGGTAACAAGTAGATTCAGGCTGTATAGGCCTGTTAAAACTGAGAAAACTAAGCTGTTTCCCAGTATATTTTAAGTAAGTATGCGGGCATGTGTGTGTTTATTTCGTTTTCTACAATGGTGAGAAATACAAATGAAGGTTCTTTGTGCTGCAGGTTCTGTACATACACAGAGTAATAGATTTCTCCCTACAACAGAGGCATCTCATTACATTGCAGAAGAGACCACCACTATTAAAAGCTGATTTAGCACTAGCCATTTCCAGCTTTTAAGTCTGTGCTACAGTTTGACAGCAGTAGCCTTTGTGAAGAGGAAGAGAGAATATAATCTGCATTGCAATTTATTCAAGCAGTTCAGTGCAATGATTAGTACATTTGTGGTGGGAAAATGACTGGAGATTGAAGTACTAAGAGGACTTGTTACTCCTCTTCAAAACTATGAACAAAATCACTTCTGGCAGTACAAGATCTACCATGCAAACACCTTGATGTACTTTGTGACCCGAATAAATCCGTTCAGTCCACACACTGCATTTATTTTTCCTTTGTTTAATAAAATATGTTTCCTTTGTTCAATAAATGAGTTTTAAAATTTATTATAACAGGCTTATTTTTTCTGACCTATCAGCACAATCAAGACTGTGTTATTACTAAATGGAAATTTAACAAGTAATAACACCAACTTATTTTTGTATTCTTTACAAATTTGATTGCCAAATTGCATTCAAATCTCAACTTTGCACAAGATTAAGCACCACCACTGTCATATCTAGATGAATATTATGCAAATACGTGCATAATACTGTCGATCCTGGTTAGCAAAAGGAACGTCTTAAGTTTTCTGTTAATGCTATGTTTGGAAGCCAAAAAATTGAAACATGATTGATCAATGAAGATCAACCAATCTGCAGGAAAATAACCAACAATAAAAACCAGAAACTGAAATTTAAATCTATCAGATTAATCACAAATAAAATTAATTCAAAATTGTTTTGATGTAAAATAAGTAACCCTATCTCCTGGAAAAGTCTTTATTCTTGTATGCAATGCTGTGTGACTACTCAAAACAGGGACACTTAAAGGGTAACTTGGGTTCTGTCAACATGGGACTAACTTCCAGAAAGGTCCTTTCCCTATACCAGATCATACAGGATTTTTTTCACGGTACTTTCATGGTATATTACGTGGCTAATTCTGCAACCTGAAAATAGGACAAAGACTTCCCCACTTTGCCAAAATTATCTGGTTTTAACCATGAGAGACGAAGGAAGCCATTGAAAGCAGCTGAATCAACATCGGCATTCATATATATAACTGGTTTTTGGTTTCTAACCTTTTTTCCTTATTAAGCTAAAGGAGAAGGGCAGCATTGTATTTCTCAAACCAGAAATCGCAGCAAAACCAGCTTCTCTGGACAGTTGCAAAATCACTCAGAGAGATTTTACAGGTATTCTATTAAAGAAAAAAGAAAATGCCCAAGTTCATTTATTAAGTCTAGAATACTTGCTGTTGTTGTAATGATGAGAACTGCACACTAAGTCAAACCTCAATGTCAACTACGTCCATGGTTTCCAACCTCTAGGTGGGAACAACCTATTCTACATGGATCCTGACTATTTTCCAGAATAGGTAAGTCACCTTTCTCAGAGCCCTATAGCTCTTCATAGATGAAGTACTATTGACTACAGAAATGAAGAACAATTAAATCAGATGTCAAACTGAACTCTCAGGTTAGCCATCTGACATTATCTTTTCAATGCAATGGGTGAACCATTGCTCATCCATGGAAGAGAAACCTGGACAAGCAGGCCAAAAGGGAGTTGCAGCTAGATTCTGCAATATATCACGACATCCACCAGCCACCCGTACTCTGATGTGAAATTACTCCAGAGTGATACACCCACACTTGAATTGATAGATGTTAAACCCCTTGCCCCTTGGCAGAACTCCCCTCACAAATCTGGTGGAATTATAGCTCTCTCTGATGATAAATAAGAGACTCAGATTCAAAAAAAAGATATGTAATATAGATTTGATGCTACTTTTTTCCACATTTCTGCAGCTACTACATTAAAATCTCCATGAAGAGTCATCAGTGAGGATGATGAACTTGACAAGAAATTAATTTTTAAGGAACACGAAGACAAAGAAATAATTCTAGAATAAGACACCACTACATATGTATTTCTATATGTAAGTGTGTATGTATAGGCATATCTTATTCCTATATGTAAGACATAAATACATATATACATGGAAACAAGTAACAAAATCCCAGCAGAAAAATCAAAATTCAGAGCAGGAACCAAACCCAAAAGTATCTAAAGCCAAAGCATGCAAACACCAGTCTTTGTGACTCACCTCCTGGGGTATGTTCCACGCCATATAGACATGGCTCTTAAACTCATCCATCCAGACTTCAGCCACCCTTAGTGCATTTCTTCGGACATGAGCAGTTAGATCTTCTGTGTATGGTTTATGTGCTCTTTCTATGTGGGCAATCCTGGAGCAAGGTAGAACCTCAACACTTCCTCCACATTGCCATACCTAAGAGGAAAAAAGACATTCTGCTAGTGAGAGCTCCCTACACCACTGCTGTCCTTTAGTAAATACACTGAAATTATTTCTATGCTTGCCATTGTTACAAAAGAGAATAACGACCCAGGACTTATTTGACCATACGGAAGTTTTTTTTTTAGACAGCTGTGAGATGAGAGAGTTATTACTTTGCCTTACCATGAATTATTGCTACTACTTAACCTTACTACAGAATTATTACATTACCAGTAGCCTCTCATCACAATCTTCCTGTATCAATTTAGTTATTCCAAAGATTATCAATAAAATTATTTCTAGGGCATCCAATAGCATCTGGGTTCGATTTTTAATGCCTTGCAGACATTTCTCTAAGATTACACACAGCCCATCTCAATGCATACAAGCGCTATTCAGAACCTTGAACTAGGCAGCCTTTTGTAAAAGGCAAACTAAGCCAAATCAACTTTGTAAGATCACTGAAGTTTCAGGTTCTAGGACAACTGGGAACATAAATGCATCTTACGCTTTACTTTAAACTCAGAAAGGATCAGGACTATTTCTTTTGAGGAGCGACAAAGACTGCCTAGTGAGAATGTTCTATGAATAATTTCAACACACACTACTCTTACAAATTATAATACATTTGTAACGTAGGTTACTGTACCTGCTCAAGTGTGTTTCAGTTTTGCCCACTACCACAGCTGAGCTAATGTCCATAATGTTAATCGTAAGTATTGCATTCATTTCTGATTTTCCCTCTTTCTGCTTTCAACAAAAGAGAAAACCACTTTGGCAGCCTTAACAGTTGGTGAAGTACTTGAATTATTTTACATAGAAGCTCTTTTTGTGTGTATCTTGTATTGTGTAAACTTCCTAACAAGGTCAAGGCAGCCCATTCATAATGGTTGAGCGGATGCTGCTCAGGTGAAAACCTAGAGGTACTTATGATACTGCTAGCAGAGATTCCTGAGGCTTGGTATCCCACACCAAGAGAACAAAAAATGAGAGTGAGGGTGCTCCTTCCTCGAATAGCTCATCCAGGAGAGAAGACTATTCTGGTCTCCCTCCTAGTGGCCAGGGATGCGTGCTGGCAGAACATCATGTTCTGGAGCTGATGTCAGACCCCTCAGGTCTGTCCATCCTATAGGCATATGCTCTACTAAGGAGACACTTTGTTCAGTCATTCATTTTATATATTTAGACATCTGGCTTGAATACAGCATTTAGGCATTTGGCAGCTCCTGAGACCAGAAAATGTGGCATGGATTCAGAATGTTTACAAAGCCTTTTCTGAACTGGTGCCTAATTGCTTTCAGCATATGCTGGAAGAAGAGATAGAGCCTTGGTTTTCAGAGCTCTCTGGAAGATGAGCTATCCCATGAACCTACTGTACAGTCAAGAAGGGAGCTGAAAAGACTTCAGCATGTCTCTGTGTCCAGAACTTGGCAAACTGTAAGACTAAATAAACATAACCATTACCAACATCAGGGGAAAAATTTAGATGATCATAAAAATTTAAAAATAGATGGGCAATTGACCTGGCACAAGAATAAGTAATCTGGAAAACAGCATTTGTGTCCTGTCTTTCTAAATATTGTATAAAGTGGGCAATCCAGTTTAACAATCTAACAAAAATAATAGTTTGTCAAACATTTAATTCTATATGGTTCAGCTACATTTCCTAATAAAGATTAAATGTGAAGCATCATCAGGCTTTGCTCACACAATGACTGCTTTCAATCCAAGCCATTTCTCAGTACGGCATTGACATCCAGCTATAAATTTTTTCAGAGTTACTCACTGTACACTGTTTAAATTAGTATCATAAAAGACAAGGAAGATGTAGAGATGGCCATAACTTAGCTTAGGACAATTCACACACTGCATGCACTGCCTTCACTGCCTAGTCTTTGCTCATTTTAACTAGGAATGGCCTTGATTCAAGTTCAACATGTGAACACCAAATCTTTTGTGGGATTTTCAGAGTTACGTCTGAAAGCCATCTCGACAACAAGCTGAGCCAAAAATTCATGGTCTATAATAAGCTGAACTTCCAAGTAAATGTCTAAGATCTGAAAATTTGAAGAGCGGATTCATCTATAATTTTAGTAGTCTCTCAGTAATCAGTAAAATCTAATTTGACTTTATAATCAAGTCATATCTGTTTTCAAAAAACATCCTGAGCTGACAAAGTCTTTAAGGTAGTTTGTAAATAACAATTACCCACTACCTGAATAAACACTTATTAATAAAATCTGGTGGCCACTCCTTTCTCTCAGACACTGTCAGTCTTTGTTCTATTTCCAAAGACTAATTCATTATTCTGCAAGAACCATGGATTCGCTTAAAAATTGAATGCTATGAGGGACCTGTCAATACAGATGCTGACAGAACAGGTAGGTTGTATTAAACAGCTTCAAAACCAAATCCTATTATTTCTAAGCAAAAATCTCCTGCGATCCATGAAAATGTGATTAGCATGCAGCAGAAGTGGACTAGAGATATATGCAATAGTTTCCATATATCAAGGTGAATAAAAGTCCTTTAATTAATGACTTTTTAAAGACAAAGACATGAAAACCACGTTATCTGAAAATCATAAGTTACAGCGTTGCAGAGCTTGCACTCATAGCACTAAACAGGCAGCACTACTCTAGATGAAGGCTACAAAGCCTTGCAGAGCAGTCGCAGAGTGAAAGCAGATGCAATACTTTGTAAGGGCAGAAAGCACAATCTGGATTTGCTTAGATGGTCACAACTACCATAGTGAAGCCATAGTACCTTTCTCTCCCACAAACATTCTATGTCCATTAGATTACAGTATGGTGAGAAAGCTCCTTTGTCCAAACATTTCCTTGCACTTAGGGAGAGGCCAGTTGCAAAGAAAGAAAACGTAGGGAGGCATTAAAGCGGGATTTTCAAATGCCATGAAACTCCTCTGGAATCTCAAGGGATTCTGGATTCCCAACTCGCCAAAACACAGGCAAAATCTGCAGCCAAGGAATGAAGGGCTTTTCTAGTGATACACTAAATATTAAACACTATACTGAACAGGATATGTGAATATTAAGCAATATAACATGATTGACTGCTACAGAAAGTGTTAGCTTCTTTTCATTCTTCCCTGATTATATTTGAAATAAGGGAATTTATTGCAGCTAGGTCAAGAACACCCATCCATTCTTTCTTTCTTTCCTTAGGCCAACCATCCACTTGCATCTGACTGCTGCTAGCTCCCCCCACCTCCTTTACTCATGTCAACAAATCCATGGTCAACTCCAACCATTGTGTTGGAGCCATTGTGGATGGTTTTTCAAGACATCTTGAAAAGGTATAAATCTCACATCAGAAGTGCATAGGAGAGACTCATTAATTACTCTGAAACAACACCCTTTCGTCAAAGGCAATTTTTACTTTTTTTTTTAATTAATATTTTAACACTAAGAAATAGATTTTCTTAAAGACTCGATTTAGAGGGAAGTTGCAAAGCCTTTTAGAGTCATCTGTTCTTAATCTAATAGAATTCCTGTAGACAGGAGACTGTCTTTATAGTTAAGAAATAGGAATAGCAATTGAGGGGTCAATTCCTCACAACTTCACGTTTCCCCTGTGAATTTCACAGCTATTTTTCTCTGTCATTAGTAATCTTTATTCAGGTTTCATCCATACTGAATAGCACCTTTCTACTGCTCCAGCACTGTTATTTTATGTGATGGCTATAAATAAATACAGAGGTTTCAAATCAGTGAAGCTTTTCCAAATTATCACCCATGACTTTAGTAGGAAGTCTAAAGATAAAAGAGCTTCAAAGACTTTTTTTAACCAGATGGAATGGTTTGAAGTAAAATGTTATATCTCTGAGCATACTGTCGCTGCAATCAGTAATACTTAATGACAAGCCCGCTTGTACAAATTGCAAGGAAGAAACTTGATGAATTTGCTAAACTATGGTTAAAAGGAAATACAGCACTTTTCCTGTTGCCCATAAAGATATTTTACCTATGGTAGCAAGAGGTGGAAATTGCTAGCAATAACCTCAATTTTCCGCCAAATCCCTAAACATACATTTACACTTGTCAAAGATAACATATGCTTCCATCATTGTGATACAATAAATAGCAATTCACATTTCATTCTGTAAAAGCATCAATTGCAAAACTGTACCATTGGGTCTCAGGCTGCGCCTTAAGGCAAGGACCTTACAAAGTTTTCAAGTGCAAGGGACTGCGTATCTTTGGGAGTATTCACTATGATTGCTGGAGCCCCAGCAATGCAGAAAGTTTGCTTTTCTTCAGAGGAATTTCTTGAGGTTCTGGTCCTGATGGCTCACTTTGCAAAAATAGTATTTTAGAAAAAGAACACATCAAGTGGAGTTTCCCTTCCAAAAAGCTCTCAGAATCCACTTCAGGGTGTTTTCAGTGCTCCCTCCCAAGAGTACCTTAGAAAGGGCTCTTTATTCTTGAATTCTCTGAGGAGGTTCGTATGTTTGGTATAGCCCCAAGAAGGGCTTAGAAAGCTTCCTCCTCTTGAAAGGGTTCCTTTATCACTATTAAAAGGTAGTAAAATTCCATTAAAAAATTCAAGCTGTAAAGGGACAGTAGTAGTGCCAAGGCAACTTCTACATTTACAAAGCTGAAAGACTAAGCAAAGCCTGTGACCTAAACTAAGCAAAGCAAGTGGGAGATGACAGGAACATTAAATGAATAGAGAATCTATTTAGAAAAAAAAAAAAAAGGTGGGGATGGGGGGGTGGAAATCTTTCTCCCATTTAAATTTTCAGTTGTTATGACTTATGTGGGGAATTTGTCCAAGCTCTAAGCACTTCACTGAAAGTACATTCACACGTAAGCTATAATTGTGGCCCTACATCTGTGTGAATTTATGTTCACAAAAGTTTAAGTAGCCCCACAGAGCAAATAGAAAACATGTTCTTTGCATTAGAAGAGCCAGGAAAGCAGAGGACACGTAAAACTGCAGAGAACACACAGGTGGTGGCACAATGGATCAAC